TATTCACATGCAAATGAATAAAACTGGGCCTCTATCTTGTACCATACATACAAATCAACTCAAAATGGACTAATGACTTGAACATAAACCTGAAATTATAAAACTCCTAGAAGAAAACACAGTGGGGGTAAGTTCCTTCACACTGGTCCTGCAGTATTTTAGATCTGACACCCAAACAAAGGCAACAAAAGTAAAAATAAAGTAAAACTACATCAAAGAAGCTTGTGCACAGCAAAGGAAACCATCAACAAAATGAAAGGGCAACTTATGGAATGAGAGAAAATATTTGCAAACCAGCAATCTAATAAGGGGTTAATATCCAAAATATACAAGGAACTCCTACAACTCACTAGCAAAAAAACAAATAACCCAATTAAAAAATGGGCAGAGGATCTGAATAGACATTTCTTCAAAGAAGACATATAAGTAGCTAACAGACACATGAAAAGATGCTCAACATCACTAATCAGGGAAATGCAAATCAAAACCACAATGAGATAACACCTCATACCTGTTATCCATTATCAAAAAAAGAGGTAACAAATGCTGGTGAAGATATAGGTAATAGGGAACTTTGTACACTGTTGGTGGGAATGTAAACTGGTCTAGCCACTATGGAAAAATAACATGGAAGTCCCTCAAAATATTAAAAGCTGAACTACTATATGATCTAGCAACCCCACTTCAGGGTATATACCCAAAGGAAATGAAATCAGTAGCTTGAAGAGATACTTGCACTCCAATGTTCATTGCAGCATTACTTACAATAGCCAAGACACTGTAACATGGAAACAAACTGTCCGTCAACAGATGAATAAATAAACAAATTGTGGTATATATACAATGGAATATTTTTCAGCCCTAAAAAATAAGGCAATCTTCCCATTTGCAACAACTTGGATGGACCTAGAGGGCATTATGCCAACTGAAATAAGTGGAAAACAGAAACAGTAGAATGGTCATTGCCAAGGGCTGGGGGATGGGAAAATGGGAAGAGGCTGTTTAAAGGGTATAAACTTTCAGGAGGAATAAGGTCTGAGGATCTAATATACAACATGGTGAGCAGAGTTCATAATATTGTATTGGAGGGGCGCCTGGGTGGCTCAGTCAGTTGAGCGTCTAACTCTTGATTTCCACTCAGGTCATGCTCTCAGAGTCGGGAGATCTGAGTCCACCTCAGGGCTCCGCTCTCAGCAGGAAGTCTACTTGAGGATTCTCACTCCCTTCTCCTTCTGCCCTTCGCCCCACTCACATGTGTGCGACTGCACGCACTCTCTCTAAATAAATAAAATCTTTTTAAAAAATACTGTATTTGATAACTGAAATTTGCTAAAAAAGTAGAACTTAAAAGAGTTCTCACACAAACACAAAAAAGTAAATAGGTAAGGTGAAGGATGTGTTAATCAAGTTGATGGTGGGAATACTTTCATGATGTATACATTTATCAAACTGTCACACTGTATACTTTCAATACAAGTATTTGTCATTTATAACTCAACAAAGCTGAACAGCAACTAAAAATCTACTCCCTGCAATCTTGTCCATTATTGACAAGAAGGCTATTATCAGTCTATTATTTGCTTCTAGGTAATATGTCTTTCTCACTGGTTGCTTTTAGAATTGTATACATATTCCCAATGATATGTCTACATGTAGGAATACTTTTATTACTCTGCTTTGGACTTACTCTATCTTTGATCAATTCAGGGAAATTCTCAGCTATTTCTTTGAATGTTGCCCCTCATCCTGTCTCTGCCTCTGGAACTCATACAAGGCTCCTACTAGACATTTCATTCTGTCCTCCAAGTCCCTCAACCTCTCTTTCATATTTCCACCTCTATCACTGCACTACATTCTGGTAATTTCCTCAGCTCTATATCTTAGTTCTCACTTTAGGTAGGCCCAATCTGCTGTTAATCATCCCTTGAGTTTGTTTTTCTAGTGACTTTTTTCATTTCTAGGCATTTTATTTGATTCTCTACAATTACCTCTTGGCCCTTTTTATACTCTCCTGTTCTGTCTTTGAGGCTTTTATTCATTCTTTTCTCTCTCGTGTTATTTTGAAATATACTTTAAAATCACATTCAAATTATTCTTTTGCTCATTTATTTGGGCTGCTAATTTTCCTGTCTGTTGTGTCTGCTGGTTTTCCCTCAGTGGCACACTTATTTTTTATTGTGAGCTCAATTTGTGTAGAAAGCATGGGCCTGCACAAGTCATGGCTAATGGAAGTATCCCTACAGTGAAGCTTCGGTCAAGTCTTTTAAAGATTTTATGTAGTTTGTAGTGCTCTTTTAAGAGTCCTAGCTTTGTGTAGGAGCCTCTATACCCATTTAGACATTGAAACATCAGTCCTTAGGATTTATATCTGATCCACTGTATCAGTGCAAGCCTTTCTCAAGTTTTAAAATCCCATCTCCCCCCCTCCCAGGATATTTCCTCTTTCTACGCTCTTAGATCTCTCTTCTTAACTAAACACCCTCAAATCATTTAATATTTACTAAACTGATACTGCCTACAGGCCCATTTAGTGTATGACATCCAGAATAGAACAAAGTTATCCAAAAACTGCTGCTTAGTCTAATTTGGATACTGAATATCTTTTATATAAATCCTCAATTTGTTCTAGCAACCACATCATATTATGCTGCATACATACTAGGTTCCATTCACTTAAAATCCATGGTTCCTTGACACAGGAACTAATGCCAAAACAATTTCTGACATCTAAAAATGCTTCGCATTTATCCTTCATGAATTTTGTTTTTTACATTTTTCACACAAAGGTGAAGTCAGTACTATACAGCAATTTGGAAACCTTAAAAACAAACAAACAAAAAAACACCTAGCTTTCTAAGAGGGGTAAAACTGTTCCTGTGTGTGATAGACCCTATTATTTCTGCCTGCCCACCAATCCATACAGAACCCTTATTCTAAGAGAAAATTTATTCCACTGGGGCGCCTGGGTGGCTCAGTTGGTTAAGTGTCTGCCTTTGGCTCAGGTCATGATTCCAGGGTCCTGGGATTGAGCCCCATCGGGCTCTCTGCTCAGCAGGGAGCCTGCTTCTCCTTCTCCCTCTGCCTGCCTCTCTGCCTACTTGTGCTCTCTCTGTTGAATAAATTAAAAAAATAGTTTAAAAAAATGTATTCCATGTAATTCAGATGGGGATTATCCTGCCCAACCACAGGCAAGAGCTCCTGATCCCATGCCCCAGCCACAAGGGACTGGTTTGGAAATGGGATTTTCTCTAAGCCAGAAAAGTAAGAGCCGTCTCCAGGAATTTTGCTGGCAATTTCAAAATAAGGGCTCTTTCCTTTCCTGAGATTTTAAACACTGAATATGCCATCCATGTAAATCTAAGATGCTGCAACTATATGGACAGATAATATACCTGGGAATGAAACTGAAAGAGAAAACTGGAGCTAAGAGATTAGAAGAGAAAGACCAAGTTTTGATGATATAATTTAAGCCACTGGATATAACTGTGAAATTCCTAGTTACACAAACCAGTATTATTCCATTAATTTTCTTGAACTGGGTTCAGCTGCTTTTCTGTATTGCAAGCAAGGAACACAATACAATGTAGTAAGCTTAACTTACTACAGTTATCAAAGAGTTCCCATATTCCACCAAAAAACCCACCATCTCTTTTGTAGCATTCATATCAAATTCTGTCACAGTAGCTGCTACTCGGGGAAAAAAAATTGGTTAGTTTGCAAAGGTTATAAGGCTAGATGCTTTTTAAAATAGATTCATGGTAAACCCTGAACCATATCTGTAGAAGCAGAATAATCATCAACTACTTTCTTCTGTTTTAAGTCAAAAGAGGTCTCCTGCATCCTAGGGCAAACAAAAGTTTCACTTGACTGGAATGCTCTACATCACTATTCTGTTTCTCTTCTTCCTTTCACTTTCCAAATTTCCAACTTTAAAAAAGCAATCTATTTCCCCTAAAATCTGGCTTCTAAACACTAGTGTAATGATGATTTTACAGTCCTCAATCTACATAATACCTGATCCAAGCAATTCACTTCATGAAGCCCCTCTGTTTCACGTTCTCTCCTAAGGCAGAGGTAAGAATGGAGAGGGAGTAGGAATACCTCACAAGAAGTGTTCCAGAGAACATCTACGGAATGCTGGCAGGAAGTGTTCCAATTACAAGTGCATGATTGCTTTGTTCAAGAATATTTAATCTTCTGTCTTTTGGCATGGAAGAAAAGTTCCAAGTAAACAACTAAAAACAACCAACTTCTCAACAGAAGTATTGTAAGACTGGGGCGCCTTGGTGGCTCAGTCGTTAAGCGTCTGCCCAGAGTCCTGGGATCGAGCCCCGCACTGGGCTCCCTGCTCCGCGGGAAGCCTGCTTCTCCCTCTCCCATTCCCTCTGCTGGTGTTCCCTCTCTCGCTGTCTCTCTCTGTCAAATAAATAAAATCTTTAAAAAAAAAAGAAGTATTGTAAGACTTATTAGCTATACTTAGCTTTCCTTTCATAATCATATTAATGTGGGAGAAGACTAATAATAGAATACAAACCTGAGGAAACAGGTTAAGAAGGTTAAGGAAACATTCTAAAGATATTAAATTGAGTCTAAATACAATGTTCCTAAAGTAAATTTCAACATTCCTCACTAAAAACAGTAAATATCTTGCAAATTAAGAGAAAAGGAAGCCAGAAAGAAAACTGTACAAGATGCTAGTGAATGAACTAAGAAGATCCAATTACCATTTAGACAATATCCTGGTTTTCTTTAAAATATTAATCAATTAAAATATAATCAATGTTGACTTTCAAGAGCATATTAATTTATTGCTTTTGGTCATTCATGTCTACTTGCAAGAAAGACGGCACATTCTTGGTAAGATAATCGAATGGGAAAAACCCATATAAAGCATTAGTTTTGAGCCTCAAGGCTATTGAGAAAAGTAAAAAACTAACTAATGGAGTCATATTTATGGAAAACTAGCTGATTTTATTATTATTATCAATATCAAACAAGTCTTTAAAGTCAATTAAAATTTATTTAATTAAGCATAAAGTTACTTTCACATTTGTCTACAACCATAGTAAATACAGTTCTTGGCAAAAAGACACAGCCTTTGGAGTTTAAAACATCCCCAACTGCAAGATTACACATATAAAACTCCCATTATTGTTTATGTGATAGTGGATTTGTTAATCAAATTAAAATAATTATACTATCTAGAATAAAATAAAATGGAAATAATTTACTCATAAGTTTCATATTTAAATCATCTTTATTTACAAAATACTATCCTGAGAATTATAATTCCATCAAGCTTCAATTTGAGCAAAAGTATTATTACTTAAGTAACAGCAGTTACTTAAACTGAAAATGAGAGAGAAGTCAAAATTATTTTTGAAGAGAGATCAAAAATATTATCAAGTTTCTCGTTGTGGTTCTGGATGCTCAGTAGTAGGCTCATTTGAAGGTGGAATCAACCCTGATGGGAACTCACTTCTACCCTCAGGATGTGGGGGTGGAGGAAAAAATCCAGCTCTTGGGGGAAAGTAATGAGGAAAACCTCTCGGTGAATAGACATTTCTCACTGTTCAAAGAGATTGGTAAAAGACATTTTTTAACTTTAAGTACCTGTACTGCAAATCTAATAAATGATTAGCTTATAACTTACAATACCTATCTTTACATTCAAAAATTGACACCCAAATAATTACTTGATCTAACAAATGAATTTTTACAACATCGAGAAAAAGCATACTCTCTTCAGCTACACACAATTAAAGGGAACATCATTAATTTTAGACACAATTTTCATCCTATGAAAACCTAACATCTGAACACTTTTTAAAAAGAATTATTTCAAAATGCATAATAAAACTTTCTTAAAAGTTTTCACGTCATATAATTTTCACCAGACTTAAAATTTTGATCAGTAATTTCCAATTCTAATTTTATATTATCCTAAAACATTTACAGTTATATTAAAGACTATCTTGAAATTCCCCCAAATTCATTTTATTTCACCTTAAACCTTAAAATAGAGGAGAAATGAAGGCAGAAATACCACATTAGGCATATACTAGCCTTTCTCCTAGTATTTGGTTAACTATGTATTTATTCTACAGAAATATACAGTTCTAAAGTTCTATCTATAGATATAAAAGCAAAAAACTTTTTTTCTTATGTGAGGCTATGAAAGAATTTCAATAAATTCAACAATTGGTCTAAACATGATAAACATATTTTAGGTTCTAAATAAGTAGGACTGCATAGGAACTACTTACGAAAAAAAACTTGGAAAAATACTTCTGCCAGTAATTTTAATGCTAAAATATAAGCTGTAATTATTTTTACTAACTGATGCAGTAACCAGTTTCTAATCAGATAAGGTATAAATAATTTTGGTCTTAATGTAAGACTGCTGCAAAAAGCCAATGATTTTCCTGATTACTGAAATACAGAAATAATTCCATATCATTAGGAACAATCATGTGGAAGCCTCATTACAGTCTACTAATGGCTGGCTGCCTTCCCAATTTGGAAGAATAATGGTATACTCACAAGTGAGAAAAACTTACTATATGAATAGGAAGTAGAATTATATCTTTGATTTACTCTATAGAACACATACTAAGTTTAAAAAAAAAAAAAAAAAACATACTTGCAAATGGAGGATGTGGTGGGCCAGGGAAATCCCTTGGTGGAAAATAATCTCGGGAAGCTCCATACATGCTTCCTGGAGGAGGTGGAGGAAAAGGAGGACCTCTTCTCATGAATGGGCCCCTTGTATCCATTGGGAACAATGGAGCCCTGATTGGAACAAGAGGTGGAGGAACGAAGCCAGGGCCCGTTGCTTCACTTTCGGCGGGGAAAGATGAATCAGGCACATTTAAATTCTGTAACAAATTGACATACAGCAGTCACTAAAACAATGGCAAAATTTGCAATAACCTTCCTGAAAATCTTAGGTTTAGAAGAAAGCACCTAGGCAGAAAGCAGTCTATGATAGTCTTAATAGTCTCCTAAGATTCCGCTTTCTACATCAGACAGAGTTTGCAATCACAAATATTAACTCAAAAGAAAACATCTTTAACCAAAACAGAGTAATACTCTGGCTAAAGATAAAACACAAGAATAGTCCAAGAGTACCGAAACATACGTATTTTTATCAAGCATGTACTGAAAACAATATGTTTGTTTATATTTTCAACACAAAGTGACTAAAAGCAAAAATTGTAAACATAGTAACAAAAATATACTTTAAAACATTCAAATAAAAATTCAAGGGGGAAAATCCAAATTCTTGGTTAACTTTAGTAAATGAACTCAAGCCTCTAGTCTATAAGTTGTACTTTATCATAGTGTGCAATCCAGAAAAGAAACAGCTATAATGCACATAGGAAGTATATATATTTGTCAAAATGGGAGAAGCAGCTTTATTTCAAGAACTAGATTGCTAGCTAAATCTCTCTTCTAGTAAACCAAGAGACTGGAAAGTTCCTGAACACATGGATAAAATTGCACTTTCAATACTTACACCAAGGTCATCCTTTTTATCATTTCTACTGGATTCCATTTCTGAAGACATTGGACCATCTAAACATAAAAGTTAAACCATGAAAAATACATGACTGATCACTCTATTCCTAGATTATCTCCCGATCACAAAGGATTGTTGTTATTTCCCCATTCCCCCTGTTAGCATATAGACCAGCCTGATACCAGCATCCTGCATTGTGGCCACAAGAAAGCTTTAGGTCACTGGAAATTCTGGCACACTTAAAGTTCTGCAAAGGCATGTGGCAATGATTTCCGTGGCTTGGTCCTAGGCAACCCTGCTAAAGAGCATCATTAGGAGACTTCTGGAAGGTGGCTCCCCTCTCCCTTTTCCTTCTTTCCTTCCTTTCTTTTCACCCTCCCTCCCTTCTTCTCTCCTCCTTTTCCCCCTTCCATCCTACTTTCCTAATTCCTCCATCAGGTAACATATACTAGCATTTGAATTTAGCTACTGTTCAAAATAAATGTTCCTGGACTTTGTTATCACCAAGAACTGCTCAGTCCATGAGAAGGTAAATTCAAACAACCCTCTCTCTGACCACAACTACCTATCCTCATCTAGCCTTCTCATTTAGTTATTCTCACTACACTTGTTCTTGTCACTGAAGCTTCCAGTCCTCTGGTCTCTCTTCATTTTCTTCAGTTTCCTCTTTTCTTCATTTCCTCCCCCAATTAACTAGACTTCAAAGTCCATCACTGCATCCAGTCATCGATGTCCTTACCCCACTGGCCATATTTCTACATGTGCTTGACAACATTCTAGCCCTATATTAATCCAACTCTCCACTTCCACTCTGCCTATTCCTGAGCCACTCAGCACTTCTGCAGGTAAAATAAATCACAAATTTGTGTAAACAGGGCCCACTCCAAGCTGATGGATTTCCAGCCATACTTGTAGCAGCTCAATGACTAACCGTTCTGCATCTTCCAAACCACATTTCTCCTCAGGAATTTTAAACCTCCATTCTCTTCAAACCTACTACACCAGTCACTTAGAAACCTCCCTTAACTTTTTGTAATCAAACAAACAAATGTATCAACAACTATATTCCTCTGATCTTTCCTCCTATTATCATGGAAAAGGATCCTTCTAGATGATCTATGACCCTGGTTCTGTGCTCAGAATCCCTCCCCTGTAGCTTCCTAAGAAATCTTCCTCTTTCTGTTGCCTCCCTTCTCCCTTTCTGCTAGACGCATTCTATTAGCAAGTCTCTCCCAACTACTATTTAAAAATGAGACAGAAAAAGAAAATTCCCCTACGGCTACCCCTCTCTTCTATAGTCAATAATTGTTCTCTATATACTGTTCGGAATTCCTCTCATTTTGTCCTCATTTTACTGCAATCGATTTGCAACATCTACCACTCCACCAAAATTATTCTCCCCAACATCAAAAAAATATCAGGAATGCTGAGCTCCTATTCACCACTGAAATACAGCAACTACCGTAATGCCTGTCATATGGTAAGCTTTCTATAGACATTTAGTGCATCAACTGATAGATCCACTACCCTCTCAATTTCAATAATGAATAGGGATCGAGACCACAGCTCTGGAGTCAGACAAGCATGGGTTCAAGTCCTGCCTCTGATACTTCCTACCTGAGATACTGAGCACCTTTTTGAGCCTTGATTTCTTCATCTATAAAATGAGGATAATAGTGTCTATTTCATAAGTTCATTGTGAAGATTAAATAATTCACTTTCATTCAATAAATGTTTATAAGCACTAGTGCTAGTCAATGTGTTTGAATCAGATCTCTGACCATTCTCCTCCATGTAACATATACTGACAAACCAATAATAATATATTACATTTATACAGAACTTTTCTATTTACAAAGTACTTCAGCACACATTAATTCATTTAACCCTCATAAGACTTTGTCAAGTGATTAATATCTCAGCTTTACAGCCATTATTCATCAATGACTTGTGTTGTCTCTTTTGCTTTTACTTATGGCTGTTCATCATCACTGGCGCAGACCCTCATCTCTCAAACAATTTCTCAAAGTCCCTCAAAAGTAGCTCAAATGCCACTTCCTTCATGGAGTTTTCCTTGACCCTTCAACTAGATGACAGTTCTTTCTGTGAACACAGTATATTTTCTAATGGAACTTAACTATTCTGATCAGTATTAGTTAAAGATATATATTTCTTTCTCCACATTTAATTATTAGCTTCTTACAGGCAGAAACTATACCTTATGATAATTATATTCTCTGCCATGTCACGTAGGGCAGCAGACACTTAAAAATTATCTGATTAATTGGATATCGTTCAATAACAACAAAAAAGGACATGTAAAAAATTTTAAATAGCATTAGTTTAAAAGTAGATATTCAATCACATATATACTTTCACTACATTAAGCTTGAATTAATGGGGGGAAACAATTTCAAAATCCAAAGGTTAGAATTTAATTATAACTAATTATAATTAATCCAGGCCATAGATCTCCTTCTTTGATTATTCAAAAAAGACTGATTTTCTAAAATAATAAATATTTCAACTGGATAATGCCCACCCCCCCTGCAAATATATACCCTGTCCTGAAGAAACCGTTTACCAATAAATTTATTTTAAGTTTCTACTTACTTTTTTTTTTAAACAATTAGTCTTCTTCTTTTTTTTTTTTTTTAAAGATTTTATTTATTTATTTGAGAGAGAGAATGAGAGACAGAGAGCATGAGAGGGAGGAGGGTCAGATGGAGAAACAGACCCCCCGCCAAGCAGGGAGCCCGATGTGGGACTCGATCCCGGGACTCCAGGATCATGACCTGAGCCGAAGGCAGTCGCTTAACCAACTGAGCCACCCAGGCGCCCCTAAGTTTCTACTTACTTTTAATCTTTTTAATGTTATACACTTCTGAATGATACACTGGATATATATATTTTCCAACTTCAGTGGGTTGCTGTGAGGTGGTTTGAGGAAAAGAGTGCCTGATAGATAGTAGGTTGCTCAATAAATGTTAAATCTATCTGAGTATGTAATGTTTAAATAAGGTACTTGATTAAAGCAGCAACAAAGCATGCACCCAAATTATTTTTCTGGTGGATTTTCACATGTCCATTCATACTAGCTTAACTTCCTGATTACTAAATAGGATATATGTAAGTGGGCTGGAAAATTTTTAAAAAATTAATCATGCAACAGAGTAAAATCTGCCATCACAGCTAAATATAGTAAACCCATTACAATGATGCCCACATCAACCATTAACATGTATGAACATGCCACGGATACCTACAATATAACAAGAAACATAAAATAGAAAGTTTTCAGGAAAGATTTTGGCATTAAGAGCTACCAGAGATATCAGCTATTAGTCCTTTTTTCAGCTTCCAGTTCTTCAGTGTGCCACCATTATTAAAAAACATACACATACACAAAGTATTTCTTACCCACTTTATCCAAAGACGGCATATTAAAACTTCTGAGTTCTGCTGGCCCAGATAGTCTGCCAGAATTAGAATAAAATCTGTCTTGCCTTTGTGGAGGAAGAGCTGCATCAGGATATGCTTGGCCTAGAAAACAAGTTTGTAGAATATTTTCATTAGTATAAAAATAAATCATGTTTGGGGCGCCTGGGTGGCTCAGTCGTTAGGCGTCTGCCTTCGGCTGCGGGTCATGATCTCAGGGTCCTGGGATCGAGCCCCGCACTGGGCTCCCTACTCAGCAGGAAGCCTGCTTCTCCCTCTCCCACTCCCCCTGCTTGTGTTCCCTCTCTCGCTGTGTCTCTGTCAAATAAATAAATAGAAGCTTTAAAAAATAAATAAGTCACATTTCTTTAAATTTAATATATTGAACATAGACATTTCTCTTGCTTCCTAAAAACTGACCCATATTCTTGGTAGACAATAGTAAATAATTTGAGGAAAACTATTTATTTTCTAAAGGCAACAACTTTTGTAGTAAACACAAGTATAACATGCTACTCTGGATTTGGAATTTTCAATTCAATGAAGGAAGTAAATATATCAACCTATCAAAACCAATATTGAGAAGATAGCTACTAGCAAAGAAAGAAAAAAAGGAGTATGTTGTAAGCATATCAGGAAATTTAGCAGAACAAACAAGGAAAAAAGAAATAGCAGATACAATTCAGAGGTCATCAATGATCAAATTTTCAGTAACTTCAATATTTTGGAATTTAGCACCCCTCCAAAACTTAAGGGGAAAAACTCTCACTCAACAGATGAACAGAAGGTTCACAATGCTCAGATTAAGGACACCTGGACAGACACAAATCCTGGCACAGACTCTGACTCGGGTGCTTCCACAACCACCCTTCGTTGAACCCAGAGGTCACTTATGATGACAAAATTGTCATTCCTGGGTCCTTGTAGAACTCATCATTCTCGAAAAAATATAGGTGGTCTATCTCATCTTTGACAGGTGATGGCAGATTTTGACAGATTAGGTATGCATATGCCCAACTCCAAAAATAAGAGGAAAGTCAAAGGGGGTGAACTATGTGACTCTTTCTTATCCATACAGATATGGAAAAACAGCTGCAAACCACCTTCCATGACCGTCCTAAGCAGTGGTTCATAATGTGAACTCCACACAATGTTGGATAGGTCATTCCTCATCTGACTCAGCCACATGGGACCGTACTGACACACCTCTCCCACACAAAGCCAAGGAAACCACTCAGCATCAACCAGAGTTAATGGAGAGAATTGTATTTAATGAGCTCCCAAGGGCCAAGGGATATGAATCAGGAGAGAAAGATCTGGATGGATAGTCTCAGGCTCATTCCTCCCTCTTTCAGATTCTTAGCAAAAAGCTGTCTCAATGGGTCTGAATTATTAGCCCAATGAAAGAAAAGGCCAATACCAACCACTGAGATCTAAACTAAGTTTTCCCTTTCTACTTCAAACATGGGATTAATTAAACGGCAGAGTTGGGCAAGGTGATAATATGGGGAAGCCTGAAAACTTCCAACTCTTTCTTAATCAAGTCTCAAAATCCCATACTATATCATTATTTTGCTTCTAAAATACATCCACACAGTATCAGCAACCTCAGAAATACAAAATTAAAAAAAAAAATACAAAATTTTGCTACAGGCTTGCTATTTTATAAATCATATACCCATGGTGCTCTCCACTGGCCAAAATAATTTATTCTTCAAGTCTACCAGGGCCTATTATATATATGGCACTACTGATACAAAGTTGGTTTTGATACAGTCCACACTTTTATAGTCTATGGTGACAGAAATAAATACAATGTGACCAATGCCTTAATCAAGAGGTATACAAATTATGAGTGGCGGCCTACTGAATTCTGATTGGAGGAATCAGAAATGGTGGTGTTATGGAGGATGTAAAGCTTGCCCTGAGAGAAAAGGAAGGATGAACAAGTAAACAAGGGTATTCTGGTCAAACTCAGATACACAGACACACGCAATGTAATAAGATAAAGTGATGTGGAAGGCATATGACCAATGAGACTGAAATATAGAAAATAAAGAAAAATGGTTCCTTCCTTGCTTTAATACCTTTGTTTTCTACCACCCTTATAAGAGAAGAAATGATTAAAAAGAAAGAATGGGAGAAGGAAAAGGATCCAGAAAAAAATGAATAAAGGCTGCAAATAAGTATACACAGCATTCTGAGGCAGTTTCATAAACTAAGAATTAGAATAAAATCCAAGATGCCTGGGTTAAACAAAAATGTTGTTTATCTATTTTCATTCCATAATAAAACTTGGACTGTAATAGCTCCCCAAGTACTTCTTTTAATACTGGATTCTATCACATAACAGAAACAAAAGAGAATTATAAAGATGGATAAAGAATTAGAATTTTTTTAGGTTTAATACTGGCTAGTAATCAAGTACAATAAACATCTTCATTCACAACATGATGAAATAGTTTATTCTAATAATTAAGGAATTTAAATGGAATGAAAAAGCAAAACTTCCAGAAAGTAGATGAAAGCAGCATTGATACGGATAGGTTAGGAGTCTGGAAGAGACCAATGGTATAGAGAGAATGTCTAAGAAACAGATGTATGCAAATATGGACATTTAATTTAAGATAAAGTGGTATTTCAAACTGATGAACCAATATATAGTATCAAAATAACTGTCTATTCAATGGGAAAAAAAAAGAACTCCTCACACTAAACACTAAAACAGAAATAAAATATAGATCTAAAAACAAAATTTTAAGTTTTTAGAAGAAAACAGAGTATCATTTTGATCTAGGAACAGGTCTTATACAAAACAAAAATTCCATTAAAAAAAAAACATGGATTAACTTACCTATAACAAAATTTGAAACATATATAACAATAACATACATAATAACAAACCGAGAAAATACCTGCAAAAGACAAGATTAACATCCAAAATATACTAAGAATTCCTATTGGGGCTCCTGGGTAGCATATTCAGTTGAGCATCCGACTCTTGGTTTTGGCTCAGGTCGTGATCTCAGGGTTGTGAGATCAAGCCCCACATCGGGCTCCACATTCAGCGAGGAGTCTGCTTATCCCTCTCCCTCCCCCTCTGCCCCTCATGCCACATTCTCTCTCTCTCTCTTCCTCTAATAAATAAATAAATAAAATCTTAAGATAAAAAAGAATTCCTATTAAGCAAGAAATAAAAGAGGTCAGGCAATTTACAGTAAATAAATACAGATAATACAAATTACCAATAAACATGAAAAGATACTCAAGCTCATTAATCAAAGAACTACATATAAAAATAAGATTAAAATTTTAACTCTTATCACTGGAGATATTCAAAAAAGTTTTACACCAAGTACTGGAGAATTAACTACTCAAATATTTCATGCACAGCCACTCTCTTGAGGACAATGTGGCAGTATCTATTAAACTAAAAAAATATGCTTATCCTATTACTCAGCAATTTCATTTCTTGGACTCATCTCTAAAGAACATGTATGCAAGGGGTGTTAACTACAGCACTGTTAGTAATAGTGAAACACTGGAAATACCCTAAATGCTCATCAAAGGACAGTAGATAAATATATTGTGGTATATTTATATACAGAATTACTATAAAGCAATTGTAATAAACTTTATATTAAAATGGAAAGAACTCAAGAACATAATGCTGATTTAAAAACTTGATAAAAAAGAAAAATAATATATATATATATTTTTTTATTCATATATGGATCTAAGTTTACACACACTGAACTCTTTCCTTTGGGAAAGAAAGCTCCTAACGGCCCCAGGAAAGGAAATAGAATAGACTTCAACTAATATATACATAGTGTGCTATTTTTTCTTTTTTTTTTTTTTAAGATTTTTATTTATTTATTTGCCAGTGAGAGAGAGAGAGGGCGCTCACAGGCAGGGGGAGCAGCAAGCAGAGGGAGAAGCAGACTCCCTGCTGAGCGAGGAGTCCAATTCGAGACTAAATCCCAGGACCCTGAGATCGTAACCTGAGCCAAAGACAGACACTTAACCAACTGAGCCACCCAGGCATCCCTTTTTTTTTTCTTTTTATGTTTTATTTACACATTCTCTCACACACATACACAAACACACACACACAAGCACACCCAAAGCAAGTATTAACATGTAAATTCTGGGATGTAATAGACAAGACTTTACTACATTATCTTTGTTTTTGTTTCTTCTTCTGTAAAATGGGAATAATATTCCTAAGAGTGTTAGAATGATTAATAAAAAGCACTTAACATAATAACTGGCACAATGTAAACACCCCAAAGTAACTGTAGAATGAATTAAATTTTTGTTTATAAATCATATTAAAATATAATACTGACTGGTTTCATTCAAATTTATCTAGATCCTTGCTGAACTGTCTAGTTGTTCTACCAATTGTTCAAAGAGGTGCTGAAGTCTTCAACTATAGCTGCATTTATGTTTCTCCTTGTAGTTCTATCACTTTCTGCTTCACATACTTTGGCTTGCTGTACATACATTTAGGTTAGCTATGTCTTCTTGATCTCTTTTATCATTATTTTCTTTGCTCTTAAGTTTACTTTATCCAATAGTAATAATAGCCACTCTTGCTTTCTTTTGATTAATGTTTGCATAGTGTATCTTTTTCCATCCTTTTACTTTCAACCTATCTTCCTATACTATTATATTTGAATGACTTCTGTAAAAATAGTTGAGTCATGGTTTGTTTTGTAATCCCTTCTGCCAATCTGTTTTTTAACTATTGATATTAGACAATTTACATTTAATGTAATTAATAATGGAATTATTAATAAAAATATTAGGGTTTAAGTCTGCCATTTTTTTGTTTTCTATTTGTTCCCTGTGTTTCTTTTTCTTTTTTATTTTCCCTGCTTTCCTATGGGTTACTTGGACAGTTTTCAGAATTCCATTTTGATTTATCTGATCTATAGTGTTTTTTTTTTAATTTAAATATTTTTATTGGGGAGCTTGGGTGCTCAGTAGGTTAAGCGTCTGCCCTCGGCTTGGGTCATGATCCCAGGGCCCTGGGATGGAGCCCAGCATTGGGCTCCCTGCTCAGCAGGAAGCCTGCTTCTCCCTCTTCCATTCCCCCT